TCTTTTCAAAATATACAGTGAATAGAATTTTTAAAGAATTTCTTCATTACACAATTTGGTAACATGTATCAAAAGCAGATCCTTATTTCAGAAACGGTGCTTCTGGGAATAGAAATTGTTAAAAAAAAAATGGAAGATAACTCAGTGCTAATTATGATTGATTGATTGTATTGTATATTGTTTAACGTCCCTCTTGAGAATTTTTCACTCATATGGAGACGTCACCGTATGCCGGTGAAGGGCTTCAAACTTAGACCTATACTCGGCACTCAGGGCCATTGAGCAGTGAGGATTCTTTATCGTGCCAGCGCCTACCATGACATGGGACCTACGTTTTTAAGGTCATATCCGAAAGACCCGTGACTTTCACTTCTAGTGTCGAGCGCTTGGCAAAGGAACAGTCACTACCTTTGTTTACATCTTAGGTATGACGCGGCGTCGCGAAGGAGAATCGAACCCGGGTCTTTCGATCACGCAGTGCTAATTATGATGTCTATAACTGTGACAACAGTTCAACTGCCTGATGTCTAGGACAAAAGAAGATTTTGAAAGATTGTTATTATTTTGATGGGTTTCGCCCCATAACAATAAAGTTCTCGGTTTTTGTTCACCTTCACTAAGAGATTTAAAATCAATAAAATAGGTTCTGTGCTTCCAGAGAAGATGATGGCAATGTTCAGATGTTAACGGATGATGACGGACAAAGATTGGGAGGTCATCTGACAGACTCAGGCGACATAACAAATGGCTGCTGTTTTTATCACCTTCATTTACAGACATATTATTTCATCATTATTTGCAAAACACAAGTAAATATCTCAAACAAAAATCCTCAAAAATATCGTTTAATATACACTACTAAGTCAGAAACGTACTGACATTCCCATTTTTTACTGATAAACTTAGACATTTACTGACAATGTGCTGTCGTTACTGAAAAACTTTGACAATTACTGACCCTTTTACTGCCGGTGTTGATAAACTTAGAAAAGTGCTGACAATCTTAGTCGGTGCTGAAAAACTTAGACAATTACTGACCCGTTTACTGTCCCTGCTGAAGAACTTAGACAAGTGCTGACATTTACTGATAATTACTGTCCCTGTTGTTCCCGCTCTCGGGGAGGCTGAAAATGACTGTGTGTTATACTTTGTATTTAAAAACAGTCTTATTTTAATTTTTGATGAAAAAAAAATCCCTGGTAGTTACTATTTTTTTAAATCTAAATATTATTGTTATCTGTTCAATAATTCAGAAATATGAATTGAAATTAACTATGTGTAAATCAAGTTTAAATTTATGTGTTGAATATATCTATCCCTGTTCAATTAAAGAATTAAATTAATTAATCATCAAGTTAGTTTTCATCTATTTATTTCTTTGCAGACAGATATCTGACTTTAATGTCAAGTGCAACCCCCCCCCCCCCCCCCCCCGTTTTCACGATCGGAAAGTTGTATCAATTTTCTTTTCACAAATAGGACAGATGTCTCTTGTTAAAAAAGGAAATCTTCTAAATATTGAATAATTACTGAAAGGTAATTCAGTTTCCTAATGTTCTCGGACATATCTGTACAAGTCATATAATTATGTAACGTAAAGCGGTCACCCATCCAAGGGTTACACAGGCTCGCCGTTGCTTAACTTGCCTGAAATAGAGGGAGACTCTACCTCATCACCAGAAAAGCTAGCTCACTAGCGAAGCAGTATGTCTGCTACAATTATATACCCCTGTTTAAGATTTCCGGTTTCATTTGCTCATACGGGAGTTCCCCTATTGAACAGTGAAGTGTTCAATATAATGAATATATAAACTTGTACTATGCCTTGTTAATTTTGTCACTTAAAACATTATATCTAAATGAATGGTTGGTTGATCGATTACGCAGGGTTCATAAGTACTCAATATCTGTAAATCCGAGACTAATAAATAATTAACAGACTAGTAATAAAAATTCATGTACTAGCATTTATAGTAATCTTACGGAAAATATTTACATTTACTAGGTCAGCGGTAAGACTAATATAAGCAGTAGCACCATTTTTCTTCTCTTTCTCCCTCCCTCTCTCTCTCTAAAGATACAAACAGTATTGACACTTTAAGTTACTTAAATACTTGACAAGTGCTTCGTTTATTCACATTGCCGAGGGGGTTAGATCACTATTTAGTTTTTGAACTTAATCTTTAAGTATTTTTTAATCATGATTCAATTTTAACAAAAATATTACATGTTTCATAACTTCCAATTTCCTCCTGTACCTATCGGTGAATCGGAATTAATTTTATGTGCTGAAATTAAATTTCATCTCATTAAAGTAGGTACCGAGAGGCGTAGGGGGTGTTATGATGTTAACGTAACAAAAAGGCAGAGGGCGGATTTGTCTAGTAAAATATTTTACGAAGTAGTGAAATTGGAAGTCATTAGTCCATCGAACCAGTACTCACAAATATTTATTTCGAACCCTCTTGCATACATGTATAACACCCCCCCCCCCCCCCGCTACACACACGTTACATGAAAAAATATCTAGTACAGCGGTACTTGAATAATTAAGAATTTTATAAAAATGTGTAAGTTTTTTGAATGATGTAAACTTCTTTGTCCATTTGATCAATTTATACCCGTAATCATTATTTATTTGATTCATGTTTCATTAACATCTTTCCTTTTCATAAGAGTAAGATTATTCGCTGACTGTTGGTGCCCATTATCTTCCGTGTTGAGTAACCTTTCATCTCTCTTTCTCTCCCTCCTCTCTCTGTCTCTCTCCAAAAAATCAATATCGACCCAGGCAAAGTTTAAAATACAGTCAAGCTCCGGCTGTTTTTTTTTTTACTGTCATAATATTCTGCATATAAATTGTGTTTGATTTTTAATTATTCTTAATTACTGATAAAAAGTTGAGGAAATATACTATGAACTATTTTTTACTTGATTTGATAATCAAACAAGTTCCTCACTCAACTGTACCCCACACACACTAACACGACTTAACAAAAAATATTCGGAACCAGTAATTTTTACAAAAATTCGGATGTAATGTATCCTTGTCATATATTTATTTTTGCTTAAATCTTTAAACAATTTGAGCCTTTCCCCGGTTGGTTTTTACATCAATCTTCTTTTTTCATTAATCGTTAATTTTTTCTTACGTCGGTATATTAAAAAAAATATTTATTTAATCTAAGAAGAGGTTGAAGGTTTGTAGATTGCATAATTATTTATATTACGTATGTGTTGGTGTTGAATTTCTCAAATTCAGACTGTCTTGAAGAAGAGTCTATACCTGTCGCCGTAATGTTGCGTAACTAACTTCCAGTGAAATCCGGCGAGTGATCTTCTGTATAATGCTGCAGTGACACCTATTGTCTTCTTTACCCGCTATCGTACACACTCGGATCGCCTCAGGCGATTTCTTTTACACACAGGTGCTTCACCAAGTTTCCGATTGTATGTTGAATGATTATGAAATTCAGCTGGATACCAGCTAAAGGACTTAAATAATTTTTGACGAATAAAAAGCACAGTGTAACTGTAAAATCATGATACTGGTTTCGATACCGAACAAAGCTATATATGAAACGTCGATTTATTAAGTTAATTTATTATACATGTATTTAATTAAATGTATTAATTACCTAAACAGATAAAAATAAGTACAAACTTAAACACAACAGTATTAATTGTGTGTTCTACTTTCTACTTTAGTAAAATAAATAAGTACATGTTCATCGTTCTACATTTAGTTCGCACGCCCCCCCCCCCCCCGCCCCCCCCCCCCAATTTAAATTTGAAAAGAAACTAGATCCATGTGAACGTCTACCGACACTTTGAAAAGAACATTGATGTAAATTTCTATCAAAGTTTTGTTTCAGGAGTATGCATAGACAAATGATGATAATATAAAATGTCATAGTTTTACATGTAATTGAATTAAAATAACACTTTCAGGTGGGGTTCCTGAAAATTCAGATTCGTCAGAATCAGCTAAAAGATGTACATTATTTCAAAAGAATGATGCGGACAGTAACTAAATCAATGAATGTCAAAGGATCAATGATCAATCCAGGCCCCCCACCCCCAGCCCAATAAATAAAAATAAAAAAAAAAAATTTAAATACCCCGTCTGTCTTTTAATTGTCCAGTGGTTTCTTCTTGCAAATGCTTTGATTCGGGTATGAACAAATGTGGGCGGCCTCCACATAATTAAAAATTTTACATAATATGAAAACTTGAACAAACGCCTTTCCTCAAAAGAGGGCACCCACGGCCTCACCGCCCGCTATGAGTTTATTAAAATTATTCAAACTAATTCAAATCAAATTAAAATTGAATAAAACACATCTAGCCTAACAGTTTAATTCTTTAAATTAATATTGAAGAAAGTCAGGGAGTTAATGTTAATTATTATAAAATGCATGTCATGTAATAACATTGTTTTATTATAAAAAGGAAAAGACCTCTGTAAAATTTCGTATCTCACTACTAAACGAAGATTTTTTTTTAATTACTTATCTTTTTGAAGGTTTTGAAATTTTATCCCTTCTCTTGAAAATATTTTTTTTACAAATCAATTTTCTATAAATCGATCAAATAAGTTTTTTTTTCAAAGACATCATCTGGACATAGTTAAAAATTATATTAAAATAAAAATAAATAAAATAATAATATATTTTAAAATAAAAAAAAAAAATCAATTCAATCGAATTCCACACTACTACAGCTACTCCGAAAGCGAGAACAATAGGGACAGTAATTATCAGTAAATGTCAGCACTTGTCTAAGTTTTTCAGCAGGGACAGTAAACGGGTCAGTAATTGTCTAAGTTTTTCAGCACCCACTAAGATTGTCAGCACTTTTCTAAGTTTATCAGTACCGACAGTAAAAAGGTCAGTAATTGTCTAAGTTTTACAGTAACGACAGCATATTGTCAGTAATTTTCTAAGTTTGTCAGTAAAAAATGGGAATGTCAGTACGTTTTTGACTTAGTAGTGATACTGATCATTTATCGATAATGATAAATGATAATTTGTGACCGAGCAAAAGCACAATTTATTACAATATATAGATATATAGATAATAAAATCCAGGGATGAGTAAAATGTAAAATATCATTTTATAGTTATAAAGGGTATACACATTATGTTGTTATTGTAAAATCAATATCTTGTTTGTCCACCAAAATCACCTCTATAAAATATTGCACATTTTGCTTACAATAAATGTAAATGAATATCAGCATGAAGACAATCTTTTTTTCTCATAGAAATGTTTGTTGTTGTCACGTTCATATTGTGAATTTTTATTATCCACTCAGTTATATTTCACTAATCCTTCTCTTCAAAACATCACCACTAAGTCTTAGAATGGCCTGAAAATAAATGAAACAAATCCTATGAAAAAGTATAACATTGTTTTGCTGTCATAGATTATAACAAACTATTTATGTTCATGAAGGGGAGACAGGTCACATGCCACATGACTCAAAAGACAGATTACGTCATAGTCGTTACTGACGTACATGTTAAGCATTGTTAAAATCGCTAATTTTTGTGTAATGTTATCATAGAGTTGTTTTGTTTCAACATTTATTATAAAAGGAAATATTTAAGGTAGGATTCTTCTAGCATTTCTTGTATTTAAAAATTAAGGAAATTTGTCACAGAATCAAGAGGACAATATCACTAAGTGATGGTATCGGTGAGATAAGATTTGACTGTTTAATACTAGAGGCAAGGTCAGGTCAGGGTCATTACCTTTTTCCTGGACATTAAGAATAAAAAATTACTGTTTCCATTCATGCGATCCCTTTTTGTAATTCAAAAGATTGAATGCTTTTCTTTTTGCATAAAAAGATACTATTATATAGGGCATATAAGATGATATTACCAAATTGACATGGATAATCGAAATAAAATTGATATATGTTAATCCGAATTTCCTCAACTTTTCTTTTTTTTTTTTAGTATTTATAAGTTATTTTTATGTGCTTCCTATATTTAACTTTTTCCAATTTTCACATATAGTAAAGTTGTCACATAAAGGTACAAAATGATACAAAAACTAAAAGTTTTGATCGTTTACTAAGAGAGAAATAACACTTTTTACGGATTTTTGGCTCAAATCTTTACTTAGATTTGAAGCATTTAAAAGCCAACATAGTTCTAGTATGTGTGAAAAATCTTATTTATTTGATATATTTTGAAACTTTAGTCCCTTATTATTAATTTAACTTACATTTGAAAATTTTAACTAAATTCAGCGTTCTATAATACTTTTAAGAGGCAGAAAAAAAGATATTTTTATACACCATCATTCTGCCAAAAATATAGTCCCTGCTAAATTTCAAACTCAGTTTACCACTTCTATTTAAAGTTGTATAATTGTGATGAAGAAAGAAAAATATGGTCTTTTAAATCTCCTACATCTAGATATATGACATATCAACAAATGTACTTTGAATATTCTATCTAGTCAGAAACCAGAGAAGAATCATACCTTAAGAGTTTTTAAAGGTATTGCCAACATTTAGATATTGTGAGATTACCAAATGCACACGTCCGTTTCTCTTTACCCTACAAGTCTAGTGTCAGTGACGTCAGTGACGTAGTGTTTGAATTCTCAGTGCAGCGAGATCAAGCACCCATTAGTTATGTTCCCCAAACGAAGTTGGGGAACATATTGTTTTTACTCTGTTTCTTATTAAGGTCTTCCGTCTTCAGCGGAAGACCTTCTTGTTATTCTTAGGTTTCTTTTTCACTTTTATTAAGGTCTTCCGTCTTCAGCGGAAGACCTTCTTGTTATTCTTAGGTTTCTTTTTCACTTTTATTAAGGTCTTCCGTCTTCAGCGGAAGACCTTCTTGTTATTCTTAGGTTTCTTTTTCACTTTTATTAAGGTCTTACGTCTTCAGCGGAAGACCTTCTTGTTATTCTTAGGTTTCTTTTTCACTTTTATTATTATTATTATTATTCTTTTTTTTCTTACCGATTTTGTGCACGCGATTTCTCGAAAACGGCTCGATGGATTTCAACGAAACTTTCAGGACTTATGTAACATTACTTGAACCTTATGCATTTTTTTCCGTTTTGATGACGTCACTTCCGGTTTGGAAATATTGCCGATTTTATGAATTTTAAAGGGTCAGGTTGTCTCCAGACTTTCTCAATAATGGTTCTAGATAGAAACATGAAACTTTCAGGTATGATAGAACAAAGTCTATAGATATGCGTAACGTCTTTCGTTTTTACCGGAAGTACAGTACGTCGGCGCTGGCTATGGCTCGAAAAATGAAAAGTCGCAAATTTCAAAATTCAATACACCTTTTCTACGATATCTTTTTACCTGTAAACATTTTGTTAAAACATATAGAACAAAAGAAATGTAAAATTTCACGATCTTTCAAATGATAGGTTAGAAAAAGGGCTGGTCCCTTAATTTAAGGGCCTAGAGGGGCCGAAAGTTTTTCTTTCATAAGTCAAAAAGTATTAAGAATTTGTAAGAGGTCAAAGAAGCAAAGTTGTTCAAAATGTCAAGCTTAATCTACTGGCGTCGTCATAATACGTCCGGCGTCGTCACTTCCGGCCAAACCGGATGTAGCCGGAAAACGCGTTTTTTTGCCGTTCTTGACAAGTTTTGAGGTTACATATGTCTCTGGAAGCATAAAAAGTAATTTTTCCGTCCGTCGTCGTCACTTCCGGTCAAACCGGAAGTAGCAAAAAATGGCTTATTTTGAAGGTTTTGATGCAAAATTGAAATTATAAAGTCACTGGAGACTTTTAAGCTCCTTGCTTTCTTTTGTTGTGTCACTTCCGGCACTTCTGGTCAAAACAGGACGGAAGACCTACTTGTTGCTTTGCAACGAGCTTTGCTCTAGTTATTATTATTGTTTTTTTTTCTTACCGATTTTGTGCACGCGATTTCTCGAAAACGGCTCGATGGATTTCCATGAAACTTTCAGGACTTATGTAACATCACTTGAACCTTATGCGTTTTTTTCTGTTTTGATGACGTCACTTCCGGTCCGGAGTTATCAGCACAAAATTGATTTTTTAAGGGTCAGTTTGTCCGCACGATTTCTCCTAAACGACTTTAGATAGACACGTGATACTTTCAGGTCTAGTAGACCCATGTCTGTAGATTTGTGGAATGTATTTTATTTTTACCGGAAGCGCTGCACATCGGCGCTCGGTATGGCCCGAAAATAGGCCTATCGCGAATTTCAAAATTTTTAGCACTTTTTTTACGATATCTTTTTACCTGGAAATATTTTGTTAAAACATATAGAACAAAAGAAAAGTAGAATTTTAAGTTCTTCCAAATGATATCTCGGAAAAAGGGCTGGCCCCTAAAATTAGGGGTCTACAGGGGCCGAAAGTTTTTCCTTTATATCTCAAAAAGTATTGAGAATTTGTAATACGTCCATGAAGCAAAGTTGTTCAAAATGTCAAGCTTAATCTAATGGAGTCGTCAAAATACGTCCGTCGACGTCATTTCCGGCCAAACCGGAAGTAGTCGAAAAAGCGTATTTTTACCGTTCTTGAAAAGTTTTTGGGTAACATCTGTCACTGGGAGCATGAAAATTAATTTTAAGTCCGTCGTCAACACTTCCGGTCACACGGGAAGTAGCATAAACTTCCGGTCAAACAGGACGGAAGACCTACTCGTTGCTTTGCAACGAGCTTTGCTCTAGTTATTATTGTTTTTTTTCTTACCGATTTTGTGCACGCGATTTCTCGAAAACGGCTAAATGGATTTCCATGAAACTTTCAGGACTTATGTTACATCTCTTGAACCTTATGCGTTTTTTTCCGTTTTGATGACGTCACTTCCGGTCCGGAGTTATCAGCACTTTAATGGTTTTTTGAGGGTCGGTTTGTCCGCACGATTTCTCCTAAACGGCTTTTGATAGACACGTGATACTTTCAGGTTTAGTAGACCTATGTCTGTAGATTTGCGGAATGTATTTCATTTTTACCGGAAATGCCGCACCTCGGCGCTCGCTATGGCCCGAAAAAAGTCCTATCGCGAATTTCAAAATTTTTGACACTTTTTCTATGATATCTATTTACCTGGAAATATTTTGTTAAAACATATAGAACAAAAGAAGTGTAGAATCTAAAGATCTTTCAAATGATATCTTGAAAAAAGGGCTGGCCCCTAAAATTAAGGACCTAAAGGGGCCGAAAGATTTTCCTTTATATCTAAAAAAGTATTGAGAATTCCTAATACACCAAAGAAGCAAAGTTGTTCAAAATGTCAAGCTCAATCTATTGGCGTTGTCAAAATACGTCCGGCGACGTCACTTCCGGTCAAACCGGAAGTAGTCCAAAAATGCATATTTTTGCCGTTCTTGACAAGTTTTAGGGTAACATATGTCACTTGAAGCATAAAAATTAATTTCCCGTCCATTGTCGTCACTTCCGGTCACACCGGAAGTAGCTAAAAATAGCTAAATTTTGCAATAATTAACATAGATTTGGAGGGTGAAACAATTTTTGGACTTCATTACTCATTTTTTTCAAAATTAAAGTTACTTCCGGTCAAACAGGACGGAAGACCTACTCGTTGCTTTGCAACGAGCTCGGCTCTAGTTATTAAGGTCTTCCGTCTTCAGCGGAAGACCTTACTGTTATTCTTAGGTTTCTTTTTCACTTTTATTATTCTTTTTTTTCTTACCGATTTTGTGCACGCGATTTCTCGAAAACGGCTCGATGGATTTCCATGAAACTTTCAGGACTTATGTAACATCACTTGAACCTTATGCGTTTTTTTCTGATTTGATGACGTCACTTCCGGTTTGGAGATATTGTCGATTTTATGATTTTTGAAGGGTCTGGTTGTCCGCAGACTTTCTCAATAATGGCTCAAGATAGAAACATGAAACTTTCAGATATAATAGACCAAAGTCTGTAGATATGTATAACGTATTTCATTTTTATCGGAAGTGCCGCACGTCGGCGCTCGCTATGGCCCGAAAATAGACGTATCACGAATTACAAAGTTTTAAACACTTTTTCCAAGATATCTTTTTACCTAGAAATATTTTGTTAAGACATATAAAACAAAAGAAGTGTAGAATTGCATGATCTTTTAAATGATATCCAAGAAAAAGGGCTGGCCCCTAAAATAAAGGATCCAGAGGGGCCAAAACGTTTTCTCTGATATCTCAAAAAGTGTTGACAATTTGTTATGCATCATAGAAGGAAAGTTGTTCAAAATAATAAATAGCAGAGGCAGAGATCATTTAAAGTCGTTAAAATACCGTCACATCCGGTCAGGCCGGAAGTATTTGTAAATGGCTTGCTTTCTGCACACATAACCGTAAATGTCTATCTCGATATCATCGTCTTCAGAATTAGACGGAAGACTTA